GTTTAAGGTTTGTTTAATATGAGCGAGATGCAGATCATTTTATTTTTATTTATTTATATTTACAGGACATGAAGAACTACTGAAATTATTCTCAGATTACACATAAACAGTCATCATTCCACGCGGAAAAGGAACTACTTTAGGATTAGGATTCACTCAATAATAACAAACTACTGGCCCTTTCTGAAGCCATTCTATGGGACTGATAGCGGCTAATATTGACCATTTATTGGGATGATAACATCCAAAGCATGGCTGCAAACAGCCAGTTAGTATTTACTGTGTAAAAAAAAAAGACTGAATCATCATGAGGAGGAACCCATGAGATGATGCACAGGTTCTATATATTAGAACAACGTTTTTATTCTTCATCTTCACCTGCTGCCAGAACATTTCACCTGAATAGATCCATTGATTTTATAATTGCATTGTATTTCATGATTGTGTACAGCACTTTTGTCCTGTCGGTGTATAAAGTGCTTCATAAATAAAGTTGGTATGGTATGGATCTACTACCATTCAACAAATAATCCCATAGTATATTCATGGTATCAGCGCTATGGCAAGCCATTTTAATATGTACTAGTTCTACTGAATATATCTTACTGATATCTGAAAAAAAAAAAGTTTCTTATCTAAATGACTTATACACATTTATTTTGTCATTTTGTATACATGAGTGTAAAAAAAAATAAATAAATTTAGTTTAAAACAGCTCTAGACAATTTCGTTTTTTAAAGTGCAACCTTGAAAACAGTAATAAATACATAACAAAAATAGTAATATAAACATATGACTGTATAATTACAGTTCTATCATGATGTTTTTATTTTTTTTGTTATTTATTTCTTATAAATAAAATAACCCATTTTAGACAACAGTTCACCAGTCTGGGAAGAAGGTCTGGGCAGTGGGGAAGAAGCTGTTGCAGAACCTGCTGGTCCTGCATTGAATGCTGTGAAGCCTCTTCCCAGAGGGCAGCAGGGAGAACAGTCCATGGTGGGGGGGTGAGGGCTCATTGATGATGTCACAGGCTTGGGACACGCAGCGCTGGGATGAAATGTCTTTAATGGAGGGAAGAGGAGCCCCCATGATCCTCTCTGCTGTTCTCACCTTCTTCCAGTCTGAGGCGCTGCAGCCTCCACACCACACAGTGAGACAGCTGCTCAGAACGCTCTCTATGGTGCTTCTGGAGAAGGTGGGGAGGATGGGGGGGGCAGGTGGCTCTCCTCATCCTCCACAGGAAGTCCAAGCGCTTCTGTGCCCTTTTGACCAGTGAGGTGGTGTTTCCAGTCCAGGTGAGGGTGCCTGTGATGTTCACCCCCAGGACTGTGGTGCTGCTGACCACCTCTATAGCTGAGCTGTTGATGAGCAGTGGAGCGTGGTTAGGCCGGTTCTTCCTGAAGTCCACCATGATCTCCTTCATCTTCTCCACCTTCAGGATCAGGCTGTTATCTCTGCTCCACCAGCTGCTCCACCTCCTCTCTGTAGTCCAGGTCGTTGTTTTCTCTGATGAGGCCCACCACCATGGTGTCGTCTGCAAACTTCACCATGTGATTGGTGGTGAACCTGGGGACGCAGTCGTGTGTCATCAGGGTGAACAGCAGGGGGCTCAGGACGCAGCCCTGCGGGGAGGGGCTTAGACTGATGACATCAGAGGTGTTCTGTCCGACCCAGACTGACTGAGGTCTGTTGGTGAGGAAGTCTAGCAGCCGATAGCAGAGGGGTGTATTGAAGCCCAGCTGTTCCAGTTTACCCATCAGATGCTGTGGGATGATGGTGTTGAAAGCTGAACTGAAGTCCAGGGGGAAAAAATGACCAGGCATGAATGACCATTTTAATCATAATGTAATTCTCCACATCTAGAATAAACATTCTGGATGTCTATGAATTAATATCAGATCTCCATATTCCTAATATTACTGGTCAGGATTTGTATTATTTTAATTATGAAAAAATGTTTTTCAGATATCATAAATATATATTCATTCAAGTCAGAATGGCCACTTTCTAGATATATAAAACTTCACTCTTACTGGTATAATTTTTTTTTTTTACTTTCTAAAATTCAGTTTCTGCTACAAAAATGTAATTTAGAGTTTTGGAGTGTGATTTTGATGAGTAAGAATCTTATTTTAGTGATCTATAAATGGATCAACCAGGTGAAGGGCTGCCTAGTAGTTAGGGCATAGAGCTTGGAATGTTGAGGTTGTGAGTTTGAAACCCACTCCCACAGACTGCCACGCTGGGTATGGGTTAAATGCAGAGGTTAATTCCTTTAACGTGAGATCATTAAAGTTCAATTATTATTATTATTATTAACATAGAGGAGGGCTTTTAATAATGTATAAACAGCCTGCCATAGCCCACTTCATATAAACGTACACATTCATTAGAGCAACCATCGTCTCCTCCTTCTCCTGCTTCCTCTCCTTTGTAGCTGTATCGCTGTTTCTCTTTCTTTTAAACACATTCTCCTTTTTTATTTATTTATTTGTGCATTCAAATCTCTGCATTCAAATCTCTAGTTCCATTGGGGTGAAACAGGCACTTCCTGTTGCCTGCTGTCATGGTGACTCGTCGAATAGGTGCTCCACTGATAGTGGCTTTTAATACTTGTTGCTCACAGGTTTAACTGTGAGTGGACCTAGTTAAAATGGATTGAACTAATTGATAGCAGCCGTTGTGAATCCTAAAACTCCTGATTTTATTCTAGATTCATTTAGAGTTGAGGATTTGAATGTGAAACCTGCTTGGTGAAACATCCCCTGTGGCCTCAGCCATGCCTCAGTTCATTCCTGGTCTTCATGAAGGATCTGAACCGCTCTGGGATCAGCTGAGCACAGAAAGCCCTCCACCATGTTGACTGATCTGGATTGGTTCTGCCCCGGTGGGTGTGCGGGTGTGCGTGCCGCCGGGCCAGGCCTGGGATCAGGAGGGTGATGGGAAATCCAGAAAGCCTATTAGTGCCATACTATTAATACACACATGGAGACATCCTCTCTCTGCTCCTAGCGGAACTCTGCATGGACATGGATTAGTAATCAGTGAGCCACTCATCACACACATGACCTTTGACCCACATTCTCCCTGCTGATGGTTCATCACATGTCTGCTTTACTGTGTGAGTAGATTTGGATTATAGCTCCTGCTTAGTTCAGCTGTGGTATAAACCATGGTGACCGTCAGTATGGGTAGGCAGTGAAGCAGCAGCAGCATGATGCTCTGCTTGCTGGGATAATCCAGGTGAGTCTCAAAGGCTTTAAAATGAAAACATTCAGTCAGTTTTTCCAGAGCCTCTTGTCCCTCTAATGATATCCTCATCTTCCTCACTGTCAGTGTTCACTGCTTGTGGCTCACTGTTGTTTCCGTCACACTGACTGAGTTATTGGGCTCATCAGAACCTGAGCTTCATTTATCAGATTATATCAGCCTGCTGATCACTTTAGTTACTGGTGTGTTAGTTTGCTCTCACTGTGGACAGACCTGGGTTAGCGGGCCTCCATCCCTGCTGGTTAGCGTGCTTCCATCCCTGGTGGTTGGCGGGCCTCCATCCCTGGTGGTTGGCGGGCCTCCATCTCTGGTGGTTAGCGGGCCTCCATCCCTGGTGGTTAGCGGGTCTCCATCCCTGGTGGTTAGCGGGCCTCCATCCCTGGTGGTTGGCGGGTCTCCATCCCTGCTGGTTAGCGGGCCTCCATCCCTTGTGGTTAGCGGGCCTCCATCTCTGGTGGTTAGCGGGCCTCCATCCCTGGTGGTTAGCGGGTCTCCATCCCTGGTGGTTAGCGGGCCTCCATCCCTGGTGGTTGGCGGGTCTCCATCCCTGCTGGTTAGCGGGCCTCCATCCCTTGTGGTTAGCGGGCCTCCATCTCTGGTGGTTAGCGGGCCTCCATCCCTGCTGGTTAGCGGGCCTCCATCCCTGGTGGTTAGCGGGACTCCATCCCTGGTGGTTGGCGGGCCTCCATCCCTGGTGGTTAGCGAGCCTCCATCCCTGGTGGTTAGCGGGCCTCCATTCCTGGTGGTTAGCGGGCCTCCATCCCTGCTGGTTAGCGGGCCTCCATCCCTGGTGGTTAGCGGGTCTCCATCCCTTGTGGTTAGCGGGCCTCCATCCCTGGTGGTTAGCGGGCCTCCATCCATGGTGGTTAGCTGTCCTCCATCCCTGGTGGTTAGCGAGCCTCCATCCCTGGTGGTTGGCGGGCCTCCATCCCTGGTGGTTAGCGAGCCTCCATCCCTGGTGGTTGGCGGGCCTCCATCCCTGGTGGTTAGCGGGCCTCCATCCCTGGTGGTTAGCGGGCCTCCATCCCTGGTGGTTAGCGGGCCTCCATCCCTGCTGGTTAGCGGGCCTCATTCCCTGGTGGTTAGCGTGTCTCCATCCCTTGTGGTTAGCGGGCCTCCATCCCTGGTGGTTAGCGGGCCTCCATCCCTGGTGGTTAGCGGGCCTCCATCCCTGGTGGTTAGCGGGCCTCCATCCCTGCTGGTTAGCGGGCCTCCATCCCTGGTGGTTAGCGGGTCTCCATCCCTTGTGGTTAGCGGGCCTCCATCCCTGGTGGTTAGCGGGCCTCCATCCATGGTGGTTAGCTGTCCTCCATCCCTGGTGGTTAGCGGGCCTCCATCCATGGTGGTTAGCTGTCCTCCATCCCTGGTGGTTAGCGAGCCTCCATCCCTGGTGGTTGGCGGGCCTCCATCCCTGGTGGTTAGCGAGCCTCCATCCCTGGTGGTTGGCGGGCCTCCATCCCTGGTGGTTAGCGAGCCTCCATCCCTGGTGGTTAGCGGGCCTCCATCCCTGGTGGTTAGCGGGCCTCCATCCCTGGTGGTTAGCTGTCCTCCATCCCTGGTGGTTAGCGAGCCTCCATCCCTGGTGGTTAGCGGGCCTCCATCCCCGGTGGTTAGCGGGCCTCCATCCCTGCTGTGGGTCACCTGTAGCTGAAGCTGCTGTTCTGCCTGGATCCGCTGGATGAAGCTGTTGGATTTTCCCATGATAACCGTTTTTGTTTGCCCTGCAGGTGCAGCACCGTATCACAGGCCAGGTCATGGCCCTGAAGATGAACACGCTGGTGAGCAATAAGGCTAACATGCTACGAGAAGTGCAGCTAATGAACAGACTTTGTCATCCTAACATCCTCAGGTAGGCTGGGTTTCAGCAGGTTGATCAGCTGTCAGACAGCTACTCTGAATAATGATTGATTTATAATGACATTTAGCTGGTTTAGAAATGTCTGTCAGCCTTCCCACATTGATATGGACTCCACTCTACTTTAACTGTGTTTTACTCTTCTCTAATGTCACCAATGGTTAGTGGTAAGTTATTGAACCAGATCCATTCACAGCAGCTGTAATGGGAAAGCTGAAGTTCTTATTGATCTAACCTCTCATTAAGCTGTCAGGACCACTAGAGGGCACCAGAGTCTGAACCTTTTCAGGGCTGCAGTCTGAGACATTACCATGACAACAGATGGATGCTCACCTGGTGGTTCTCCTCATTCTTCCTGCTGTCTCCTCAGGTTCCTCGGGGTTTGCGTCCATGAAGGCCAGCTCCACGCTCTGACGGAGGTACAGCCACAGCATGCCCATTGAACCTTTCTAAAGACGCCTGTCACATTTTCTCTTGTCTTTCATCTTTTTGTAATCAAGCTCAAGCGCACAGGAAAATACATTTTCAGGATGTTTAAAAACCTGGAACCCTTAAATTCTTGCAAAACATTGTAAACATCCTTTTTCTTTGTTTTAAATTTGATTTACGATCAAACATTTGAAAGATGGTCTTAGAGTTAAAGATGGTGCTGCAGAGGGCAGCCATGCTGCTTTGCATACTTTAGTGCAGAGGTCACGGATTAGCCGACCTCAGTCCGGATCCAGACCCACCTTCTGGCCAATCCGGACCCAACCTGAGTTAAAATATTAATAAATCACTGCATGTTGTCCGACGGCAGTCTCTAATTTCACTTGCACTGCTTCTCCTGTTAATACGGTAAAGCCCTCCGGAGCGTCGGCTCCAGGCTGCACCTGATCCAAATGAGCCAATGAGCTGCTGTCAGTCTGGGTTGCTGCTGCTGCTACTTTTAGACTCAGCAGGCAAACCTGTGACAAGCCGGGCGATGGGAAAGAAGGAGAAGATGATGAGAAAAAGAGAGCAGAGAAAGTGTGGACTGCTGGAAGAACTGCGGTGAACTGGTGAAAGAAAAGTGAAATGGCGTGCTCAAAGATGACCCTGAACATTTAGAGGATGTTTGGCTCAACCTGCTGCTGTGAAGCAGGATTCTCCACCATGAACAGAATCAGAAATAAATCTGGATCCAGGCTCAGAATGATGAATACATCACCTGTATGCTGCTAAGCTACAGGCAGAACCGAAGAGCGTTTAAACCTGCCGCTCTGACTGTTAGAGTCTCAGAGCTTTAGCCTCTAACTTGAATAAAGTCGCTGAATGGTTCACCGTGAGCTTTTGAAGGGACTTGTGTGCAGACTGTCACACAGACGGTAAAGCATGGGAGACTCCTATCTGAGGAAGCTGCATAGCAACAGGGCGCTGCGTAGCTAATGACCCAGCAGCAGTCTGTAGACCACAGCCAGATCCTTTCTGACAGCCCAGCACTGCAGCTGCAGCTGTTTGAAGGTTTGGGGGCAGCTAACGTCCCTGCTGATTCTCTACAGGTCTCTGACTGCTCGGGACAAAACGCTGTGATTTAATAACCTGCTGTCTTTCCACGCTGTTCAGTACATCAATGGAGGCAACCTGGAGCAGCTGCTGGACAGCGACCTGTACCTGTCATGGAGCGTGAGGATGGGACTGTCTCTGGACATCAGCCGAGGACTGGAGTACCTGCACAGCAAGGGCATTTTCCACCGAGACCTGACCTCTAAGGTAAGCTGCTCAGTTAGCCGCCAGTCAGCAGAGCAGCTGTAGCTTCCACCCGCTGCGTTAGCCGTGTCAGCTCAGAGATCAGCCTGGGAGGAGAGGAGCAGCCAGAGCACATCTTCTCATTATCAGTGTGTGTTTGCACCCTGGTTAGGCTGCTGTGGAGCAGCAGGGTTCTTTCAGAGAACGCCATGTTGGTTTCTGACCGTGTCTGTGTGCAGAACTGTCTGGTCCGCTGTGAAAACGGCGCCTTCACCGCTGTGGTTGGAGACTTTGGCCTGGCAGAGAAGATTCCAGTCTACAGGTGTGGAATCTCATCTCTTTATAGTAAAAGTATTCACGCCTTCTGTGTTTGAAGTGTTGAGAAAATGATGCATGGTTCAAAGCTCTTCATCAAAAACAAAGTGGAGAATGTTGGAGAACAACCAGGACCATGAAGACCAGAGAGCCAGCAGGTGGTTTGGTCCTTTTAAAGCATCGGGGAAGAACAGATTTCTGTTAAAGGGTGTTTCTTTTCTTTAAGTGGTAGGGAAGTCATATTTAAATTTAAATCATTTTGACTTAAAAATATATATAAATGCAATCTTTATCAGACCACATTGTCTGATAATTTTGAAAATTTCTATTTAAAAAAAAACTCCTGTTTTAAAATCTGTTTTTTTTTCGTTATCTTCTGCAGGCCAGTTAGTTATACGTCAGTCTGAACACTTAAATTCATCCAATCATACATCAACGGTCATCTGTCAATCACATATTTTCGGTCATAGCATCTTGATTCATATGTCGCAGCTAATATACGCAACGGCTGAAACCAGAATCCTTTCCTTTCCCATTGAGTTCCTTCCAGTGTTCACGGGGATGGACGTCTGTGTCTTCAGCAGGCGTAGAGCTAACAGAACTGGCAGCGTTGCGAGGCAAGGGCTCAAACATGTACGGCTGGAAGCCTTCTACACCAAACCAAGCTTCTGCCGCCCTGGCGTCCTCTTCCACAACATCTTCGTCCCCGCTTTCCTCCTCTAAATAAAAAATGGATGACTGAGGAGACTCATCCACGACCTCCGACACTAAACTCTCCTCCTCTTGCATGTTTCCTCTGTCCATAGCGTTCCTTGACAGCGTCGTTTCTAAGTCACCAATTTAGTGCTACTTGGTCCCAATGGAATTTCCCATTGGGAACCTGCTAGCACTAAGTTGCTAACTCGTTAGCAAGATGCTTCCTACAAACCGGCCACAACCAAAATGTTGGAACAGCCACTTCCCTACGACTTTAAGAACCAAGAAACTTTGAGAGAATGTGTTCAGGGTGAATGTCTGACGTCTTTTATTCCTCCTCATGTTCAGGAAGTAAGGAGTCTAAGTTCTAATAGAAGCAACCTTCCTATTGATCCGTTTGTTCTGCAGCGATGGTGTGGAGAAGCAGCCGCTGGCCATCGTGGGCTCCCCCTACTGGATGGCCCCTGAGGTTCTGCGAGGAGAACTTTATGATGAGAAGGTAGGCAGCAGGTGATGAGTGTCTCCTGATGATCAGTTACCCTCACACTGTCCCTTTAAGATGAGGGCCTCTGTGGACCCAAACTGATCAAGGATGGTTTCAGTTTAGTTTTTCCAGAATCTAAATTCTGATTGAGTTGAGCTTAAAGTTTCTTCCTGTAATGAATCTCATGTCCAGATTAGGAACCAGAATTAGTTTCTCCAGATCTTGAACTAACTCAGAGTCTGGGCTGACATTCTGCTGCTGTCTGGGCTCAGGTGGACGTGTTTGCCTACGGCATCATCCTGTGTGAGATCATAGCCCGGATCGAAGCGGATCCAGACTTCTTACCGCGGACTGAGGTGGGTCCCAGCTAACCTCCACAGATCTGATCACGATTGAGCAAAATCATCAGAACATCGTAGCTTTAATGTCTATGGTGGAATAGGGATTTAACACAGACTAATGAAGAATTATTCTAACTTTCTTACCTCAGAGAGCAATGAGTGGACACCTTTACACACATTTATCAACTAGAACAGGTCAGCCTTAGAATATTCTATTCAGTTTATTTCTATAGATCCAATTCACTTCATGTCATCTCAAGGCACTTTCCAGTTCAACCAGATCATCCAGTCAGATTGATTCAAAGTTTTCTATCTAAGGAAAACCAGCTGATTGCATCGACTCATTGACTCTTCAGCAATCCCTCACACTAAGCATGCTTGTAGCGACAGTGGAGAGGAAAAACTCCCTTTGAACAGGAAGAAACCTCCAGCAGAACCAGGCTCAGTGTGACTTCAGGCTGCTGTGTGAATGTAGCCTAATGCTGCGTTCACACCGGGGGCAGCAAAAGCAGCAAAATCGCGTCTGCTGCTTCATTTTTGCTGCTTGTACCAGTGAATTCTGACGCGCGTCTGAAGCAGCTTTGCTGCTCTCGCTGCGCGGTCCAAAAGTGGCTCTGACGCGCGTTGGGCGGAGCTTCACTATCCTTTTCTCTGCCTTGCAGCTATATTTGCTGTGATCAGTGGGAATAAAGTAGTTTTAATATGTTTTTAAGTGAGAAAATACACCTGAAAACTTCATCAGTGCAGTCAGTTCATCCAGATTACAATCCTGCCTCCCAATATTATTTCTGTCGGAGCCGCTCAGACCCCCACATACCAGCGGTGCGCCGACAGAAGGAATCCCTTCATCAGCAGCCTCTGGCCGGATCGCCTCCTCGCGGTTTACCGCTGTGGCTGGTAGGTGTTTTTCATCTAAATAATCCGGTCTGCAGGCACCAGAATAATAAAAGCGAACATATTCTGCCGGCAGATGTATATATTTTAAGTTAATTATGCTTTAATAAACTGTTTAAGAGAAGTGATCAGAGCAGTCTGTGTCATCAGCGCTGTGTCTCTCTCCCAGCCAGCTCCCAGATCAGCTTCTCTGATTGGTTGACGCGGCGCGTCGAGCAGCAAAAATTCAATTTTTCCATCTCGAGCAGCAGCGCGTTTGTGGCGCGGCGCGCGCGTCAGATGCCAAAACGCGCCCGACGCGCTGCTTCGGCTGCTCAGACGCGCTGCACTTGCTGCTCGAAACGCGCCGCGGGACATTTTGCTGCGCCTTGACGCGCGTCAACCATTGACTTTGCATGTAAACTCGCTGCTTCTGTCGCGCCAGCTGCCCCCGGTGTGAACGCAGCATAATACTCAACAAAGGTCACTATTCTGCATCCTGCTATGCAGGAGCAGCAAGAAAAAAGGAACCATGGCAGACGATGATGCGGAGAGGAGAGTTTATATTGAAAAGATTGAGTTTTTAAGGTTGGGAAAGATCGCTAGATGCGCCACCATCCATGTTTTCTTCTGTAAACACAGAGCACGCTTGTGATGTCATAGCGCATGCGGGACACTTAAGCTGTATAAATGCAGTTCACACAGGAGATCACAAGTCGTGTATATATATATATATATATATATATATATATATATATATATTATATATAAATCACATTTCACAAAGAAAACGGGGGTTGAGTATCAAGGCCTGCAGTGAAGGTAGCCTTAGAGCAGGTTTAAAACTGTTATTCTAATAAAGTCTTCATCAACGTGTGTTTAGGACTTTGGTCTGGATGTTGCAGCTTTTGAGAACATGATTGGAGATTGCCCCACGGCGTTCTTCAGCCTGGCTGTCACCTGCTGTAATGTAAGAGCCCCCCTCCCCCTCCTGTTTCCTGCTCACTGGGCCTCACATCGCGGCTGAGTTTTTCTTGTCTTTCTGTTTTCAGATGCGTGCGGAGAGACGTCCCTCATTCTCTGATATTGTCTCCACATTGGAGGCCCTGCGAGGAGAGGACAAACACGCAGCCATCACTCTTGGTAAAACACTTCATCAGGTTTATTCATCCGTAGATCTGATCAGACCAGGTCTGCTTTTAGTTCTTGACACCAGCAGGAGGAGGAAGATTTTAGTCTGAAATCATGTTTAGAAAACCTCTGGAGTGTTTTATTGACTAGAAATTAAAGGAAGGTAAATTGGAGGTCAGGGTCTGTGTGACGGAGACCAACAGGAAGCTGCAGGAATGCTAACTGCTGTCTGCTTCTGCTGCTAACAGAGCCGCTGATGGTGACTGTCAGCCCATACCGGCGCCGCAGCTCCCCCTGTCACCCCGGAGACCACGGCCAACCCAGGAAGGGCCTGGCCAGGAGCCAGTCGGACATGACGCCCCCAGGAGCCCTGACCCCGCCCCTCCTTGGAACACCTGCGCGGGTCAACCCCTTCTCCCTTCGCAGAGACCTAAATGGTGGGCGGTGTAAACTGCTGGACACGCCCAGCAAGTCGGTCTTCTCCCTGACCTTCGCCCTGCCAGCGCGGGATTCCTGTTGCTCCCCCCGCCTCCTCAGAGGTACATCAGGGATACAAGCTCCACCCAGGAGGTGCCAGTCGCTCCCCAGTACGCCCGAAATCAGCCGGACTGCAGCGTTCCCCTGTGACAGCAGGCAGGAAGAGGGCAGGCGGCGGCAGGTTGGCTCTATGGAGGCTGATGCGATGGTGGGGGGGTCAGAGAGGACGGAGGATACTGAGGAGGGGGGCGGGGATGCTGGTCTGCCTCTGGAGCTGGAGATGGTTTCTCTGGAGCGGCTGGAGGAGGAGGAGGAGGAGAACAATGAGGAGAGTGTCTGTCTCCATGAACCCATGGACTGCACCAAGTCCCCAGAACCAGCCAAGAGACCCCTAAACTCCGCCCACCTCAGACCCCTGCTGACCAACGGCTGGCGGCGGCCCATCTCCAACGGACCGCCTTCTTTTCCTGCTCTGCCAAAGCTGGACAACAACAACCTGTCGGAGCTGGTGATTGGCCAGCCGGTCCACTGGGGGCGGGGATGGTACTCCAATGGATGCAGTGACGGCCAGGTCCCGCCCTCTGACCTCACAGGCTCCTCAGAACAAGATGAGGTCACTTCCTGTCCAAGCTGCTGCTTAGTAGGTCTGAGTTTCCCCTCGATGTGCCTCCGTGGCTCAGCGGCTGTCCCCGTCTCCCGGCGAAGGGCTTCGTTACCCCGACAACGGCAGTACCAGAACCTCAACGGTACAATAACTGGTAGCAGTGCTTCCTCTTCCTCGGCCGCCGCTACTAAAACGCTCCTGTATCGCAGCAGCAACGGACTGGTGGTGACGGACCGGTCCACTCCACGTGAGCCCAGCCGCTCCCTGCCGGAGGCGCAGTCTTAGCTCCCCCTCTGACCCACTTTAAACCCAAAGCTGATGGTCTGAGAGGTGGACGGAGGTAGAAGGTCATCATGGAGGCTGAAAGGAAACGCCTCAGCGCGTCTGTTAGAGTCCATAGATGGTCCAAAGGTTCCGGAACGCTGGTGGGTCGCTTCTGCTCCGTACAGCAGAGTGATGCTTGGGTTCCGCAGCGTGTTGTACTGACGTCAGACTGGAAAACGGCATGATGTTAGCTAGCAAACAGCATGACGTTAGCTAGCAAACAGCATGCTGTTAGCTAGCAAACAGCATGATGTTAGCTAGCAAACAGCATGACGTTAGCTAGCAAACAGCGTGACGTTAGCTAGCAAACAGCATGACGTTAGCTAGCAAACAGCGTGATGTTAGCTAGCAAACAGCGTGATGTTAGCTAGCAAACAGCGTGATGTTAGCTAGCAAACAGTGTGACGTTAGCTAGCAAACAGCGTGACGTTAGCTAGCAAACAGCATGACGTTAGCTAGCAAACAGCGTGACGTTAGCTAGCAAAACAGCGTGATGTTAGCTAGCAAACAGCATGGTGTTAGCTAGCAAACAGCGTGACGTTAGCTAGCAAACAGCGTGACGTTAGCTAGCAAACAGCGTGACGTTAGCTAGCAAACAGCGTGACGTTAGCTAGCAAACAGCGTGACGTTAGCTAGCAAACAGTGTGATGTTAGCTAGCAAACAGCATGATGTTAGCTGGCAAACAGCATGATGTTAGCTGGCAAACAGCATGATGTTAGCTAGCAAACAGCATGATGTTAGCTGGCAAACAGCATGATGTTAGCTAGCAAACAGCATGATGTTAGCTACCAAACAGCATGATGTTAGCTGGCAAACAGCATGATGTTAGCTGGCAAACAGCATGATGTTAGCTACCAAACAACATGATGTTAGCTGGCAAACAGCGTGATGTTAGCTACCAAACAACATGATGTTAGCTGGCAAACAGCGTGATGTTAGCTAGCAAACAGCATGATGTTAGCTAGCAAACAGCGTGACGTTAGCTAGCAAACAGCGTGACGTTAGCTAGCAAACAGCGTGACGTTAGCTAGCAAACAGCATGATGTTAGCTAGCAAACAGCGTGACGTTAGCTAGCAAACAGTGTGACGTTAGCTAGCAAACAGCGTGATGTTAGCTAGCAAACAGCATGGTGTTAGCTAGCAAACAGCGTGACGTTAGCTAGCAAACAGCGTGACGTTAGCTAGCAAACAGCGTGACGTTAGCTAGCAAACAGCGTGACGTTAGCTAGCAAACAGCGTGACGTTAGCTAGCAAACAGCATGATGTTAGCTGGCAAACAGCATGATGTTAGCTAGCAAACAGCATGATGTTAGCTGGCAAACAGCATGATGTTAGCTAGCAAACAGCATGATGTTAGCTACCAAACAGCATGATGTTAGCTGGCAAACAGCATGATGTTAGCTGGCAAACAGCATGATGTTAGCTACCAAACAGCATGATGTTAGCTGGCAAACAACATGATGTTAGCTACCAAACAGCATGATGTTAGCTGGCAAACATCATTGATGTTAGCTACCAAACAGCATGATGTTAGCTGGCAAACAGCATGATGTTAGCTGGCAAACAGCATGATGTTAGCTGGCAAACAGCATGATGTTAGCTACCAAACAACATGATGTTAGCTGGCAAACAGCATGATGTTAGCTACCAAACAACATGATGTTAGCTGGGAAACAGCGTGATGTTAGCTAGCAAACAGCATGATGTTAGCTGGCAAACAGCATGATGTTAGCTAGCAAACAGCATGATGTTAGCTGGCAAACAGCATGATGTTAGCTAGCAAACAGCATGATGTTAGCTACCAAACAGCATGATGTTAGCTGGCAAACAGCATGATGTTAGCTGGCAAACAGCATGATGTTAGCTGGCAAACAGCATGATGTTAGCTGGCAAACAGCATGATGTTAGCTGGCAAACAGCATGATGTTAGCTACCAAACAACATGATGTTAGCTGGCAAACAGCATAATGTTAGCTACCAAACAACATGATGTTAGCTGGGAAACAGCATGATGTTAGCTAGCAAACAGCATGATGTTAGCTGGCAAACAGCATGATGTTAGCTGGCAAACAGCATGATGTTAGCTAGCAAACAACATGATGTTAGCTGGCAAACAACATGATGTTAGCTGGCAAACAGCATGATGTTAGCTACCAAACAACATGATGTTAGCTGGGAAACAGCATGATGTTAGCTAGCAAACAGCATGATGTTAGCTGGCAAACAGCATGATGTTAGCTGGCAAACAGCATGATGTTAGCTAGCAAACAGCGTGACGTTAGCTGACAAACAGCATGATGTTAGCTGGAAGTGATTTAAACTCCAGGTGTGTCAACAGAACCAATGAGGACAGAGCCGTGCTCAGGTGGAGGTTATAATCCGTTGGACAGCTTTATACCTCTTTCCTGTTTTATAGTCAACACTTTGCATGGCAGCTATGGTGGCGCCCCCTGCTGGCTGAGTCACATCAGTGGATCCAGAGAACAATAATCTGGTTTTATCCTGTTTCACTGATTTATCCTTCGCTGCTGAAGGAACATTTCTAGACCTGATAAAGTTTATTCTTTCTACGTTTTTACTAAGGGTCAACCTACGTGTCTGTGTGTGTGTGTGTGTTCCTGTATTGGCATCAGAGTGAGGACCATTTTTTAGATTTCACCATCAAATCGAGGACCAGTCTTTTCTTTTTGCCTCACTATTATGCTAACAGTTAGGTTTAGGTCTGAGGTGTGAATTAGGTTTAGTTTAGGCTGAGGTACAGCAGGTTATTACATGGTCCTCACCACATATAGTGAGATGAGAATGCATGTTTGTAATATGGACTGATGTGTGTTTATATGAAGGGGAATCAAGGTAATAAACTTTTTGGTCTTATTTTTGCACTTGAGTTTGAAGCACTTTGTGGCTGAAGAGCAGCTGTCCCTGCTGTCCTAGCAACCCGCGCTACGTATCCGTCCGTGTTTGAGTTGGTCATGAAGCAGTTCTGAGTATTTATTGTAAACTTCACCTCACACACTGTGTGTGTATGTGCTAAATGTAAAGTGGAGTGACTGATACTTGCAGATTGTTTATTTTCTTGTTCTTTGTTTTCTGTACCACAGCTTTGAATCTGTGTGCAGTCATCTGACAATAAACTAAAATGGCTGAAAGGATCATTTTTGTGTCTGTGCCGCTTAATTTGAGGATGCTGTTATTATGCAGCAATGCTTAAACATTTTGGTATTAGGAAGTAAACCATCACAGCCTTCATTTGGTCAATCTACTTTAAATTTTTCTGCACTATACTCCATGATAGCAATGTGACATTTTGAGATAGTTTCAAATAGAAATTACAAATAAAATCTTTAATAGAATCTTTTTTAGAATTTTATTTGTGCACATTAATTATGATTTTTATTCAAATCCTTTGGCTAAAATGCCATCAGAACGGTTGTAATATTAAGTGTGTCTCAGCCCCCCTTCAGTGTCCACCATATTGGATCAGTCCATTTGCTGCACATGTTCAGAAAGGTCCAGACAGACAGCAGCAAACCATTTGAAAACAAACCATGTGAAGCGCACCCTGCGATGGACTGGTGACCTGTCCAAGATGGACGCCGCTTCTCACCCGTAGACAGCTGGAGATCGGCACCAGCATCCCTCGCCACCCCACTTGGGATTAAGCGTGTAAGAAAATGGATGAAGGTGTGAAGAGCAGAACTTTAGTCGCTATATTTCGTAGGCATATCTTCAGGCAGTGAGGTGTTTGGGTCGTGGTCTGCATCCATCTGCAGAAATTAGATAAATAGAGGGTGATTGCTGCATTTCAATAAAATTCTTTTGGAGGGAAAAAACAAGAAAAGAAAGTTTCTTTCCTTGAAATAAAATGTTATACACCGACTCAAAAGCGACTGTAACGACCAATGAATCAAGATCGACTCAATTCTCAATCAAATGCAGAGGATGTACTGCTTCTACTGTCGGATCCTTATTCATTAGCTCCTCTATTGGATTTGATCACCAATTTTCTGTATTATCTGGATACAAGATTAGCTGGTCTAAATGTGAAGTAGTGTCAAAGTTTTGTTAGAAAAGCCGTATACAAAAGTGGAAAATTGTGTGGTTGTCCAAAAACCGTAAATACTTAGGAATACTGCTGAACCGGTCTGGAAGACATTGGGGTAAGCTACAAATATGGCTGTGGGGTAGAGTTCAGCCCGTTAAAATGATTGCTAAAAAATCTTTCATTCCTTTTGAGACATCATGTAAAGTCTTCTGTGTGGTCTTCTCAATTTAGAGGGCCCCCCTGCATTTCTTTGCCTGGGGCCCCAAATTTCCTAAATCTGCTCCTGGGTGGAGGATATGCAATTGTAAACATTTTATCACATGCAAAGTTATTTTTCAAATCAGAAACTCCACTACAGACACAGGTTGCTTTTTCCAGCCCTTCTAAAAGTCAGAAACTCAGATCAATATTTCTGCAGAGATTCTGTGTCAGCGATAAACGCAGCAGATTAATATTGATTATGAAAAAAGTCCTGAATGGAACAGCAGTAAAAACAATAGAATGAAAGGTTTTTCCCCTCAATGTTATTTAACAGGCTCAGTGTTCTGGGTCTGCCTCGTTCTGCAGGATACCGATCAAGCTGCTGTTGAAAGGAGCTGGTGGAGATAAATCCAGCTGCCCTCAAAGCTGCAGGGCCCTGGGCACCAGAGCAGGGAAGCCTTTCTTAACTCAGACATGTTTCCAGCTGTTAGTGATCTAAGCTGTGAACCAGTCTGTGAGCTCTTTTAACTGGGCTGCTTTCTGCATTATAGACAAAGCAAAGGTCCTGGAACCAGTAGCTGAATCTAGTGGAGGAAACAAGGTTTCAGCTTCAATGGTTTAATGGTGTAAAAACCTAAACAACTGACTGAGGAGTGAAGTTTGCTCACTGAGATTTCTGCAAGACAGAGGAGAAGATATGAATAGAAATATCTGGTAGGATGGTTATCTGAGGGAGGTGAATGTTTGGTTCAATGTTAATAAAACAAAATGATGAAGACGATTTCTCTCAGCTCCATGCTGTGTCCTGGGCGGAGTCACATTTTCCATTGGTCAGCAGAGAGCTGCCCAAGATACTCTAAGAATTTACAGCAGGCATTTATGTTGCTGTTATCAAGGAAGGGTTCCCAAAGCGCTGAAGCAGAGACCCCCATTTGCTCCTCCCTCCCTTCTATCAGCAGCTGCTGCCTGCGTCCTCACTAGAACTAATTAAATAGATCAGACAGCTGATCCAGATGCTGCTGCCTGCGTCCTCACTAGAACTAAGAAAGTAGATCAGACAGCTGATCCCCGAGCTGCGCTGGTCCCCCT